TATATATATATATATATATATATATATATATATATCTTCTGCTGTCATCTGACGTCATGAATAGTTGAGCCTCAACTAAAAAAATGACTTTAGGTTAGGTTCCGTGTATTTCTTCCTACTTTTTTCTTCCTCGCTGCAAAAAAATTTTTTTTATATACATATATTGTTGAGTATCTTTTTGAATAAGAACAAAGTTAACTCCACAGGAAATATGAAGCAGGAAACAACTTAAGGCAGTTCAGGAAATGTGGAAAATATGAGCATAATTATAAAAGAGCATTAATTTTTGTTCCCTTAAAAGACTTGCTTCTCCCCCGTCTAATTATTATCAATCACGTGGGTCAATTTTAGAAGTAATTTTGTGGTCAAATTTCTGGCTCACCGTAGCTGGACTGAAATCTTGAGCAGTCAAATTAGAGCAGCAAAGAAATAATGATAATCACTACGACACTAATTGTAGAAGTTCATGTTGCAGACGTATCCATCCACAGATAATACATCATTGTTTTGCAGTCCTCCACCATACTGGCCAGTATTACAAAAAACTCAGTGATGCAAAATTAAGAATGAAAGTAAAAATAGACCCTTGCAATAAATATTTTGTTATTGCTTTCCATCTTCTACTTCTCTTTCACTTTTACTCTTAGTGTCATTGTTACCCAACCCCCTTTTCAATTTCTTCTTCTAAATCGTCTTCTCTACACAAATTTTCGATAGTTCACGCAGCCAATAAACTTATTTCCAGTAGGAAAGTAATATTCTTAAAGAAGAATCAATGCAAAAATCGTATATTTTTTCAAAATTAATGAGCCTCACAGAAAAGAATAGAAAATTTTGCTTCTATTCCAAAGTTACTTCGAAATCATCCTTTTCTTTCGAATTCCACTCCCGTTTTTGCTTCTGTTCCTTCATAAAATGAAAAAAACTCCAAATTTTTTTGCTTTTTTCTTTCAACCCAAAAGCTATCACCACCACCGTTACCATCACCATTAACTAACTGATGCGTAAAATTTCAGTGTTCTTCTTAAAAAGAATTAACACCTGTGAACAGTTGGCAAAGCTAGAATGACACTTTTTTGATCAGGAAAATTTTTAAAAAGAAAATCGAACTCAGGCAGCCACCACTTACTGGCGGTAAAGTTGATGTAGATAAGCAGAGAAAAAAATGAGAAAAGCAAATGTCTGGCGCTTGAAAGCAGCCTAACCTTTTCATGGCTGAGCGAACAGCTAACAGCTGAAAATTAGCAACAGGAAATATCTTTCTTTTCAGATTTTCGCTGAAATTAAAGATTTAAAAAATATTGAAATTTTGAAGAGCAAAAACAAAAATGCGATGCAAAA